GACTTCCAGTATCTCAACCGTGGGAAGCAAGGGGTTTTTGAAACGGCCAACCGCTTGCTTCGCCAAGATCTCGGGGGTCAGACTCGCTTCGGTGACCACACCTTCGATCTCCACATTACGAGCTGGGATGTACACTCTATACTCGAGTGTAAAGAGCTGGGAGGCAGCAATCTCGTTAGCTTGTTTCAGGTTAGAGACGACAACGCGAAGTTTATTGTACCTCACCTTCGAGATTTCGGTCACGGCCGAGAACCGCTTCGTCAGATCATTAGTAATTTGCATTACATTCAAAGGTTTCTTTTTGGGCTGAAAGTAAACAACCCATGGGCCAGTCGAGTCTTCTGGGTAGGCTCGCGATCGGGGGCTTATCTGTCCCTGCCCATTACCAGACTGAGATGACGAACCAGGGATGACATCATCTGATTTCTGGGATGACAGACGTTTTCGACCCTTCTTGCTATCGCGTGGCAAAGTGGTGTCATCTTCCGACAAAACGTCCATTTCGTCTTCCGACAAAATGTCAATTTTGCTGACTAGTGGGAGCGAAAAACGCTCTACCACTGCAACGATAATCAAAATTACTCGGACACAATACACGAGAAAAAAAAAATACAAACACAGAAACACAAACTTAAAATTTAACTGATGGGAGAGAGAAAGAAACAAGAACAAAAACTTATCTGATAATCCTATACTACTACCACCGAGCGTTTACACAGCAGCAGCGGAGCGACGCGCAGCTTTGATGATCTTCGATCCGCGTGTGCGGGTGGTCTTCGTTGGTGTGTGCTTGTATGAAGCTCGGCACTCAGCTGAACACACGATATGGATGAGCGGTTTGAATGTGGAGGCAGATGCTGACACTCGATGACGATGATCCGTGTGCACAGGTATGCGTGACCACGCACCGATGGTGCGCAAAATGGTTGGCGAATTGGCAATCGCAAAAACAAGTTTCCTTCCGATGATGCCGAAAACACACTTTCTTCTCAGAAAAAAACTCACTTTTTGGTAAATTTATCGGGAATCATGCCAGGAATCACTAAGCGAGAAAAAACTGATTATTTACGTCAGATAATAGCGAGAAAACTTCCAAATTAACGGAGCGCGAAACAAGTCGACCGTTCTTCTTGCTAGGACGCAGTGAGATGCCTTAAACATTATATTAGTTAGCATAAAAATCCAGAGCAGTTACCTTCTTAAATAAAAAGATATCAGTTACCTTTCCTTTGTGGTTTTAGTAAACTCGTTTTTTTTTAAGTGAGGTTTCATTTTTAAGCTACATCTCAAAAACTGTCCTACTGAGATTTTTTTGGACTACATTTTTGGATTCAGCGCACGATTTTACATGGGAAATGACCATCAGCGTACAAAGTTCAAACATGCTGTAAACTAGTGTATTTGAGTATATATGTTTTGGACTCCTAGCCAAGCAACTTTTAAAAAAATACTTTATTCAAGACAACAACATGTTTTATTTTTTTTTCATTTATTTAGATCGATTTACATGCATGTACGGATTTTGATTCATGACTATACGGATTTTGATTCATCCTCAACACAGTGTACGGATTTCGATTCAAAATTGTACGGATTTTGATTCAATCGTAGAACGCTGTACGGATTTTGATTCAAGAGATGTGCAATTTAAATACTTTTTTCTTATAATTAAAGGTAATTTTAAGACCTGGTGTTTGCAAATAATGGTAAAATAAAGATAAATGTATAGGAAAAAGATGTGATACAGAGCATAATGTGATAGCATTATTTAGTATTGACCGTTAATGATTCTCTCGTGCTTAGGTGTACGGATTTCGGTCCCGCACGGTATGGAAGTTGTAAGTGCCTTCCCTTTCGACGACTGTAGTTAGACGCTTCCGGAAACTGCAGTATGCACGTTTTAAAACGTTTCGATCCATAGATGTCATCACTGCCTTGATTTTAGCTTTTAGCGACTTAAGTGTGGTGTGAGGGGTTCTATTGTTATCCCGTTGGACGAAGCCCTATACAAAATAATCCAACGGATTGATATCGGGACTGCTTGGGGGCCAAATTTCTTCCTCCCAAATTTACGAAATATTTTCCGTAAGCCATTTCTGTGCTTTATTAGCAGTATGAGCAGGTGCTCCGTCTTATCACTTTCCCAAGCCTTTTTTAATATTATACACTGTTCTTTCAGACACATTTACCGACCGAATTATTTCTTTCATGCATACTCCGGCGCGCAACAAAGCGACAACGGCTGACAGATTGCTCTCTTGTTTCGACATCTTTACGTTTACTCAACATTGTTTGTTTAAATCTTACACCTAACAGTATAAGCTATCCAGTGCTGCCAAATATATCTAAATCATTATGCACAAGCATGAGAAATTACTATTTGAAATTTACTGCAAAAATTCGTCATGCACCCTGTAGCTCAATCTCAAGGCTGTCGTAGGTAAAAGAAAGCGACAGCCGTTGGAATACTGTCATGAGGTGGTACTTTTGGTATGCCTGGACACAAGATTACATGATGGTTGAATTTTACATTGCATTGAAATTTAAGTTATGAAGAATACGACGTTTAATTAGCGGCGCCGGTGGTGTAGTGGTAAGCGTGATTACCTCTCACCCCAGCTGGCCTGGGTTCAATCCCAGTCGGCGCTACCGCGATGTTCTGAGGCATAACATCTCTGATCACGGGAGTATGGAAGTAAAGCCGTTGGTCCCCGGTTCATGAGTTGATGGGTTGATAGGTAGGTAGGGTCCAGGTGTGGGAGCTGCCGCTTGGCGTCGGTAGCATTGGTGCTCAGCACGGAGAACAGGATCGACCGTAAACAAAAAAAAAACGAAGTTTAATTTTGCAAACTGATCTAAATTAAGAATTAAGAGCATTGCACGTAAGCAGTTGATATTGATATTTTGCAACACTGCACGTAAGTCTCTATGAATAATATTCTTGGACTTCAGTCCGGCATGATGCATATATCTCAATAATCTTGATATCTCGATTTATGAACCATGTTCCGGAAAATGTAATTAAATTAAGACAGTTTCTATTTAGAGCTTTCCTCTAACACACTCCACAATTTTCGGTCTCCACAACCAACACTTGTGGCCCGCTAGTTGGGTGTAGCGATAGCGAGTGTGACAGTTCTAACGAAACTATCTTCATACAATGTACAAATCAATTTCGTTGCAGAAAGCAACGAATAAATTCGTAGAACAAACGAGCGATTTAGTTGTATAAACGAAATTTTATTTTCAGTATTGTTTTCCGTGCTGAGAACCAATGCTACCGACGTCAGAGAGGCAGCTCTCACACCTAGACCCTACCTATCCACCCATCAACTCATGAACCTGGATTTTAATATTAGTAAACAAGTGTTTAAGAATAGAATTAAGTCCCGATAGTTCAGTCTGTGTGGCTCCAATACACAATGGACCAAGAATTAAATCTAGCAGGAAAAAAATAATACTCTCTGGGATTGCATCCAATTGAATTGATGTCTTCAGTGAAGTTTCTTGGATTAATTATGACTACATTTTTTTATAACGAATTCTAGGATTTTTCATGCAGCATTTCCAGCTCAGATACTAAACTAGAAGTACTACTTGATAGAACTCCAAAATAGTTATTAAAAGCCATGAAAAACGCAAATGAATGTCAACTGATGCGTAGGACCCCGCTGGTGCGTTTTGCACAATTCTCCCCTATCTTGAAATTTGTAAAAAAAAATTTAAAGAGTGGGATTCCCATAAATTGTCATAATTTCTCTAGGTATAATGTATCGTTGTGCTTGCTGAATAGTGGATAAGAACAAGATAAAGAAGAAACTTATGTATTATTTCTTCTAAAAGAGTTGAAGTTCTATTAAAATGACAGGACGATGGTCCAAGATAATCAACAATCTCCATTTCACTGGGTTCCGAAATTTCAATCATTCGTGGGTACATAAATGCGGGGCACAAATTAAAGGATTTAATCATTGGATATATTCATGATTTAATAACACAACACATTCTCGACGCTCGGTGCCACTGGTTGGAGCTCGTGCAGTGCCAGATATACCAATCGTGTTTGCATCCTTTCCCGAATACGGTGCAACGACAGATAGCAAGCGATATTCATTAATTACGAATTTGCATTTCAGCACATATGTTTTGATGAAACTAATCTTTTCTGATACACCCTGATGAAGGAACCGCCACACACATGGCAGCTAGTTGTTGTATCGCTGCGCTGTCTGAGTCGAGAAAGCGCGAGAGAGTATGCTTGTTATGGGAAGTGTGAGGTTTTTTTGCTATAGGATCGGGAAATGTGTACATGCTAATGCTAATATATCTGCAGATATCCTGATTCAGACCAAGTGCAGGCTGCATCTAGCTTGAGTACGAGTGCCACGCTCGAGAGCACGAGCAAGGAATATGAGAACATTTGTGTGTATATCAGCATAATGTGTCAATCGCTATGCTGTTGGAGTAGCTTCCGGCAGGATTGAGGAGTGCCACCAAAGGATACTATAAATAATAAATAAAATAAGCACATTTACGCACATTCATGCACCCGAACGCATACATTTTCGTATATTCTTGATAATGATGGCAAACATTTTAAATGCCATGTCTAAGCTCGCGAAACTTTCTCTGGTTTTCGTTGGTAATGCTTCTTCTGGTCATCGGAGAGATATAGGCCGTCGTCAGAGTTTCCGAAGAGAGGGAGATATGGAAATGGAGGCAAAAAAAAAAACGTTCGTACAACATTGAGCATAGCGCGAGGTCACTCTCGAGCATCTGTACCCTTCTCTTTTGGGTGGTAGGTAGGCGCAGTCGCAATTGATACTATTTTGACCCGCATAGGGTGTTGAAAAAGTTTGAGTGTGCATTCGTAACTCTAAAACAGGGATCGATTCAAGCAGTTTTTCACGAACTTCAGTATACTAAAAAGGATATGGGAAAACACGAATCCTGCAGCATTCTCGGAAGTTGCTTCTGTCAGTCTCGTGTTTATGCTCAACGGTTGCACATGTGGCAGATTCTTGGTCGACGAAAGCAATTTAATTTATTGACACCGCTATCCTGGATTATATGGTTTATCGCGATGTGAGAAGTGCGGGTGGAAGAGCAAATTTATGTTATTTACAACAACAGGATATCTAGCAGTTTATCGATATCAGAAAAGGGTGTGATATTCCACGCGCTTGTGGTGAAAAAGATTTGATAAGATAATATAGAAAAATATATAAGGGAGATCGTTATACGCTCACGTACGTGCATGGAGATGATTTTGTAAAATAAGGAAAGCGTTTTATAAAATTTGTGATGATTACCGAAGTTACATATTTGATGTTAATTTTCAAGTGTTGCTGAAAAGGTGAATAATTTTGGCCAAATATCAAGTGCAGTGCTCTAAAAAGTGAGTCTAGTGTAGAAAATCAAATTCGGATGTTGAAGTTCTCTTTATTGTGGATTTTTGGATAATACAGTTTGATACCGGTGCACCTAAATAAGTAAGTCATTATGTATTTCAATCGTATTTAAATGTGGACACATGTTATGTTCCGCATTACCATTTGCCGACGGAGTTATCTATCTTGAGGCGGACCAAAACAGGTGTTATAGAAAATTCTTCTTGATTGTTGTCGTAATTAATGTGAACATCAAAACTTTTACTTGCTTAGAACTAACTGTATATCTTTTGTAAATAATAGCAAGTTATGGCATATGCACCAGGAATGGCACAATCCCATGTATGTACATAAATGTACCAATTTTTGGCCTTACCCATTTAAATAACATAGACATATGCCAAAACTGGAGAAAATGTTAAGTAGTGCCCTAACTGGTGTTCTTTCCCTATATACGGTACACCCTGGCTCAATCAGTAAAAGCGTACGTACTTTATAAAGCCCAATTGATATGAACAACTTTCTAAATGATAGTTTAGCAGTTCATCTAATAATTACGGTGTCGGAGACGAACCAGCTAAGGGCTGAAAGTCTCCTTAATAAAGATATATAAAAACGTAATTATGGGTGGATCTGGAAAATCCGTAGATTTAGTAGTAAATCAAAAAATCCGCATGTAGCTTGACCACACAAGGCCCCGTTTGTGTTATGAAGAGCATATATGATAAGTGAACATTTTTTTAACCACAGTAGGGTAGGTGTACGTTCCTATTATGGTGTGTTCCAATTATGCACGCAGAAAAAAATATTTTAAACGTAATAATATTTGACGTAAATTTAATAAGAATTTCATTTTGTTTTGGCTGCAAGCATTATTATTTCAACAATCCAGTATCTTTGTTTTTAAAAACCCATGGATTGTTAAATCAAAAAGAAAATCTTTTCGAATTTACAAGAAATTTTATGGTTTTGACGTAAGCTGTCAAATTTGGCAGCTGGGTCAACAAAAAATATATTTGTTTTTAAAAGAGATTCCTTGTTGATTCAATCATATTTATTTTATTAAGCCTTAAAATATACGCAGTAGAAATAAAAATATGTTTATTAATTCAATTTTTAATAATTTGTGATTATTTTTATGTTTTGTTTTCTATTTGTTACCAACAGAATTACAATTAAATTAAAAAAAAACTTTCTTAGGCATAAAATATCTCCGGTTCATGAGTTGATGGGTCGATAGGTAGGGTCCAGGTGTGGGAGCGGCCTTCCTGGCGTTGGGAGCATTGGTAGTCAGTACTGAAAATAAGATCGACGGAAAAAATCAAGGAAAAAAAGAAAAACTGTTTATATTTTTCAACAGCAGCATACTTACTTACCTCTAGAGCTGAATCAAACGAGAAATTTTTTGTTATTGTTTACATTTTTGTCCGGGTTTTCACGAGGGAATGGTTGGTAGTTATTTTTGCATTCATGGCCCGGGGAATTGACACAACAAATAAATGTTAAATTAAAATTAACTATTGTTGGCTTGATAAAAGAATATTGTTATTTTTACAATAGTTGCAGTTGAAGAGTGGCTTATGAAAACAAAAAGAATCTTATTTTGAATTTATTTGAATAAATATTATCGAAACAATAAAATGCAATATAATTTCCACCGGAATTGTTTGTGTAAATACAAATAAAGTTTTTTTTTGGTTCAATGCAAACAATTTTCTGTCCGTGTGGCTTATGGAATTCCAATACATTGTTACTTTTCACCGTGGAAAACTTACATGAAAAATAACTCTGAAAATCTACTATGTAAGGTCAACCAAAATCTAATGGTAATTTATTCATAAAGCAGGAATAAATATTTGTTGCCAGCCCTGTATAGAAGATCGTTAAAATTTTGGCACCAGACAAACATTAACGTATCTTTTGTGCAGGGGACTAGGTCCCATTCCAGCAATAAATTAAAATAATATAGGTACCTCTAGAACTATACAAACCATTGGTTGAGAAATTGTCCCGCTTTCAGATTCCTGTTGTTTTTTCAAGATTATTAGCTTTCATAAAAACATAAAATTATTATAAAAATGCAAATTTAATTTTATGAAAATTTCAATAAAATCCTAATTTCTTTTCCTCCATGACAGACTCATTATTTTGTTTTATATATTAAATCTAACTGGGCGCATATGCTTCACATATAAAAGCTGTGCACCAAAATGCATTACTCAATTTTTAGACGACCAGCCATGACTGTGCGCTTATATGAGAAAAAAATAGACACTCTAGAAATGAAAAAATATTTCTATGCATATTCCTAGTGATAAAACAAATGCTAGAAAATAATACGCCAATTCAAAAAATACTTTCAAAAACTACAGAGAAGTTCTGAGGTCTACAGGAATGTCTAGATCTTTGGGGAAGTTTAAAGATCTTTAAAGGTAATTTCTGAGAACTTCAGGGCAGTTGCATGACCTTCAAGAAAAAGTTGGTGAACTTAGATGAAGATCAGAGAACTTCATTACAGTTCCATTAACTTCAAACCTATTTCAAGAACATAACAAGAACTTTGAGAAACGCCAGAAAACTTCAGGTTCTTAGGAGTTTTAAGTAATGTTCGGAAAGCTTCGCGAGCAGTCCCATCAACATCCGACAAATTGTGGAAATTTTAGGAAAGTTCCGGAAACTTCTGGAAATTTCAGAACCGTAACTATAAAAAATTGCAGGAACTTTACAGCTGTTCCAAGAACAAAACCCAAAAAACTTCAAACAAGTTGGGAGTCCCATAATTGTCAGGAAAATTACGAGAACTGTCATAAGTTGCCGTAAACTTCAGAAAACTTTATGTTAGGTAGATCCATTAATGACAGAACCCCAAGGTTGCAAAGTGCGTGGTGATGCTATGAACAAGCACGCTTCTTAGCAACGGGAAAGGCGTGCTGTATCACAGCATCACCATGCACTTTGCACCCTTGGGGTTTTGTCAGTTAACATCAGATAAATAACTTCATGAAATTCTCAGAACTTCATGAAAATCCCATGAATTTTAAGGAAATTACGAAAACTTCAGGGTTATTTCAAAAGCTACAGGAACGCACCTACTTTGTTGGGAACTGAGAGATTCTCTGCACTTCCACGATAAATCACTTGGGATAAGCAATCCATATTCAATTAGAAAATTCCGGTGAACTAGTACTTTCAAGATCAATAACGGCGGCGGCCAAATCCTCACGGTCATCCGGGATTGTTGGTTCGATTGCCTTTCTTTCAAGAAATTGATTATACCTCTGTATCTCCAAGGTTGTTAGTGGGAAGTGTAAATTAGATCTGGTCCTGGAAAGTAATGTGATCTTTTAAAACATGGTAAGCAAATGTTTTGAGGATGGGACACTATCAACTTAGTAATGTAAATGGACCTGGGATACAATCTGTGATCTTCTGCTGAGTAAGCAAAACATTGCTAAGCAAGTCGCCTACAAAAGATAACCAAATTGGGTACGTGTGTCAGTTATTAACCCTACTCTTCTTTTGCTTAATTACGTCCCCGGCTCTCAAATCAATGTTCTTTGGGCACTTCCACATTTGTTAGCTTTCTAAGCCTATACCATTTTTGCATTAGTATTATTGTGTGGCATGTACAATCATATTCTATGCCCAGAGAAGTCGAGAAATGATTCAACCCGAAATATCATTAGACCGTGCCACAGTGAAGTAAATAAAATAAAAACCTCATCAGAAGTCTTAAAATAAAAATAGACTTTATTTTGTTTTGCACACTTTTATTTTTACATTGCATCGTTTGACAGCTTATAGCTATTCAAAAGTTTTGTTTGGCAATCTCATCAATTTGAGTATTTTTCCAGGTTTTGGTAGATTTACGGCCGTTGAGAGGAATCACAGACAAACCGACGTAATTACCTTTCTTCTCGATCGTCGTACACGCATTTAACGTTTAAATAAAATATTATTAGTTTCGCGAAACCCTCACCACAGCGCTGGCATAAGATCACTTTCACGTTTCTATACATTTTATTGAACTTGTGTGCAACATTGTTTGAGAAATAAAAAGCAAACTATTTTCCGCGAAACGCTCGCGAGAATTTTCCACTTCAACCACATCACGGTCAGTAATCGGTGGGCGTCGCTTATGCGTCTGGTTGTCTAGGTACGGTACAGAGATTGAGCGAGTTGTCCTTTAATGGGCCCTATCTTAGAGCACTAAAATCTAAAGCACTAGTTAGTACCAAAACTAGTTTACTGATTCTAATGGCGGTGGATGGATTGAGCTGTGTTTCTTCAGGGATTTCCATCTCTGCATAAAACAAATTGAAACAGAAACGTGTACAGTGCACGAGTACATACATATCGTACGCCTCCATTGTCACTTGCTTAATCAAATCATCATCCAATAAGTTACTTTAACGGTTCATCGCCTTCATCCTGGAGCACCGATCACATGTCGTTATGTGCAAAGAAGTGGAAAGATTCAATAAATATCAAATTTCGATGTCTAATTGAAATTAATATGTTTGACTTGAATTAATAGTTTGCCGGTCAAGCATATCTGGTTCAGCATCATCCAGAGCAACGAATGCAACTTGTTTAGCCATCGTACTGTTCAGAATGGCTTTTTGAACGAAGTCATATGTGTGCATACTACGCTTGAGTACCTTCTGCTCTGATGAGATTAGCTTTTAATGGAAATTATGGTGCAAAGAGAACGGATTGAATGTTACGATTTGCCACTGGGAATACATTGGAAGGCGAGTGCAGATTATTCTATTTCCGCCCTAAAAGTGTCATAGCTGATATTGTAGAGCTAGAATTAGATGCTGATATGATTGCTAGTCGAGTCTATATGGCACTTGATGCTCGATTTTGGTACCTTCCTTCCAAACAATAAGCAAATATTTTTCACGTAGGGGAAATTACGTCTTTGTCAGTTGTCATACCGTTTCCAGTCAAAGGGATTTCCCATGAGAGCTGATTTTTCTTTTCATGATTATGTATTACATATCTGGGCATCTGTAGACCATAATTTAAAAATTTGGTAAAAATAAACTATTTTCTGGAAATAGGTATAGGAACCAACGAAACCGTAATAACCCTAT